TCCCGTCCCCACCCTTGTCTTCTCTGTCTCTTCCTGGTTGGACACTGAAGACATCGGCAAGCTGGCCCCAGAGGGTACTGTGTGAGATTCCAGACACAAAGCTAATGCAGGTCATATAGGAGAAAGGACCCTCTGCATCTCCCCAAAGGAACCCTCTCCCTAGTCCTACCTTAACGTTAGAGTAGATTTTTGGCCAGGTGCGGTGGCCCATACCTGTATTCCCAGCGCTTTGGGAGGCTGAGGCAGGAGGATTGCTTGAGCCCAAGGGTTTGAGGCCAGCCTGGACAGCATAGCGAAACCTCGTCTCTACAAAAATAAAAAAGTTAGCCAGGCATGGTGGCACACATCTGTAGTCCCAGCTACTTGAGATGCTGAGGTGGAAGGATCGCCTGAGCCTAGGAGGTGGAGGTGGTGGTGTGCCGTGATCGTTGTGATCATGCCACTGCACTCTAGGCTGGGCAACAGAGTGAGACCTCAACTCAAAAAAAAAAAAAAAGAGCCGGGCTTGGTGGCTCAGCCTGTAATCCCGCGCCTTTGGGAGGCTGAGGTGAGTGGATTGCCCGATCCCGCGGGTTCGAGACCCGCCTGGGCAGGCGAGACCTCATCTCTACAATAAATCAAAAAATCAGCCGGGCGTGATAGCGTATGCCTATAATTCTGGCTACTTGGAAGGCTGAGGCAGATGGATCGCCGGAGCCCGGCAGGTCGAGGCTGCGGTGGCCGGGAGCGGCCACTGCACTCCAGTCTGAGCGACAGAGTGAGACTCCAACTCAAAAAAAAAAAAAAAGGAAGAGTAGATTTTATTGAATTCTCCCTGTGTGTCAGGCACTGTACTAGGCACTGCTCAACCACTATCTCATGTAGTCCTCACCATGATCCTATGAGGAGGTATCCTCAGTATTCTCATTTTACAGATGAGGAAACTGAAGGTTGGAGAGTGAGTTTCCATGGATGGGCAGGCCAGAGGTGAGATTCTAACTCCAATGGGATAGTATCTAAAATTTATACCAGGTCAACTTGGTTGCTATTTAGACTTTCTGTGTTATCCGTTTATATCTTCCTTGTTCTTCTTAGTTTCAGGATTGTTGTGTTTTGTTTGTTTTGTTTGGTTTTGTTTTTGAGTCGGAGTCTCACTCTGTCGCCCAGGCTGGAGTGCAGTGCCACACTCACGGCCATCACAGCCTCAACCTGCTGGGCTCAGGTGCTCCTTCCGCCTCAGCCTTCCAAGTAGCTGGAACCACAGCCACATGCTCCCACACCCAGCTCATATTTTGATTTATTGTAGAGACAAGGTCTTGCCATGTTGCCCAGGCTGGTCTCGAACCCTTGACCTCAGGCAGTCCTCTCACCTTGGCCTCCCAAAGTGCTGGGATTACAGATGTGAGCCACCCACACCCAATTGTTGTGGTTATTATTGTTATTTCAAAGCTTCCCCCTGTGTCACTTGTGTTGGGGAGGTCCCAGGGAGATGGAACACGTTAAAGTCACCTCCTGTGTGCCATGCATCTTTCTGTATTTTCTCATGTGGTCTTTTCAATAGCCTTGCAAATAGGCTAAATTATTATACTCACTTTACAAATGGAAAAACTGAGGCTTAGAGAGGTCCAGTAGTGAGTGACCTAGAGTCACCCAGCAAGTAGTGATGGAACAAGATTCAGACCCAGTTCCCGAGTTTCTGGAAGGTTGCAGGCAGGTGCCAAGGTGGGGTCAGGAAATGGTGGGGGATAATAGAATCAGACAATTGCAGCAAGAACAGCAAGGATGCTGGAAGATAAAGGCTGCGGTGCCCTTTGCAGGGTCCCCGCTTTGTGACAGCCAGTAGCCAGATGTTCCCTAAGCCTGGCTTCAATGTGGCTTGGGGCACAGACCCCTTGATCATGACAGCTACCAGCAGCCTTGAGCTTGCTCTGCATCCAGCCTGTGACCGAGAGCTTCAGTGCTGGCTCCTCTGAATGACACATGGAAGTAGGTACTATCATGGCCTCCATTTTGCGTATGAGGAAACTGAGGCACAGCAGGGCAGAGTGTCTAACTGAAGGTCACAGAAGCAAAAAATGGGAGCTGGAGTTGATCCCTGGCTTGCCTGCTCCAAACACCGTGTGAGAGCTGGAAGGACATCTTCCAGACCCGACACCACACACACGAGGACCCCGAGACCAGGAAGGGCAAGGCTTCTTGTCCAGGGATACAAGCAGGTGACATAATCAACTAGACTCCCATCCTTCAATGCCCCATTCACCATCCTGGGATCCTACCTACTTCCGAATCAGTTGACTTAGGCTTGACAGGGTTTTTGTTTGTTTGGTCATTAGTTTTTCTTTAAGGACAGACCTGGGCATTTTCGTTTTTTAAGAGGGCTGTTAATGGGTTGGCTCCTAAGAGCTCTGCCCTGTGGCAGACATAAAAGGCACGGAGAAGGTGGCCCCTGCCCTCAATTTGTCTACAGAGTGCCCTGTTCAAGGTTCTGAGGGGATAAAATTAGAACTGTGTGTTCTCTGCAGAAAGCCAGGACATGTGGCCATTGTGACGTCCTGGCTGCTTCCGAGCAGACTGCAGGGTGGGCAGAGGGTCTGCTTTGAGAGGCCTTCCAAAACCATACAGGTCCTAAACCCCTCCCATAGTCTGACTCCCCAGTGCCTGACGTTCCAGCCCTGGAGAGTCCCTCGGGTGTTCCCTGGTCCTCACGCTGGCTGCACCAAATCCTGTCTAGTCAGGTGACTGTCAGACTCTTAGCTGACAAGCAGTCCAAGTGCCCCTAATTTCCAGATGAGGGGCAGGGAGGTCAGGGCAGGTTGGAAATGGAAAGGACCAGCTCTGGGAGCCGGTGGTGGTGGGCTGGCTCTTGCCTCCTGTATCCCAGGACAGAGCAACTCAACGCCCCCAGAACAGGGAGTGACAGCTCTGGCCTGTCTTCCAGATAGAATGGCAGGTTGGATCTGGAGAGAGTTCATGCTTCTGCCCAGGACACTAGCACTCCTGAGGCCAGAGGCCACGTCCTGGCTCTGCCCCTTGCTTCCTGTGACCATGACACTTCACTTCTCCGGTCTCCATTTGCCCATCTGTAAGATGGGAATTGTCTCACATACTTACCAGGGTGTCATGAGAATGATAGGAAGTAAGTCAGAACTCATTAAACCCTAAGAAGGACTCTTGAGCTATCTCATTCATCCACTCATTCGGCATTCATTTATTGGCACCTGCTGTGTGCTAGGACCATTTTAGCTCCCAGGAGAGTGGCAAACAAGAGCCTCCCCTGCCTGCTGGAGTTTACATTCTAGTAGGGAGAGACTGACATCAATAAATCCATAAATAAGATGATTTCCAAGAGTGCTAAGTACCATGAAATAAATAAAAAAGGGCTAATTTGATAGTTATAGAAATTTGAGCTGGGACATTTGTCACTCTATACCTAGGTCAAAGTAGATCAGAAGCCTCCAGGGTAAAGAAGGAACCCTAAGAGTGTATTTAGGTTGAGTCGTGTCCGCTGTGCCTCCATGGTCAAGCTGCTCAACTTTTAAGCCTCAGTTTCACCATCTGTAAAACACAAACAAAGGTGTGCCTCCCATGGAGTAGGAGTGACAATTCAGTGAGATAATATATGCAAAATGCTTTCCACATAGGTATTCAATAATTGCTAGTCATATTTAATGACTAGTTTAATAAAAGTACTATCGACAGAAGACATCACAAAGGAAACACCAGACCCGCTGAGGTCCTGCAGGGTCACAGAGGCTCCTGGCAGAGAAAGCAAGGGCGTTGACACCTGGCCTGCAGGAGGGACTCCATGACACTGTTTCATGTTTCAGCATTTACTTGGGACCCCCTCCCTGCCACACACAGCTCCCACTGGGTCCGAGAGCCTGGGGGTTTTAGGATCAGCTGGTGGGCCCTCATGCTTTCCCGCCCTGAGTTCTTACCTCTACCCAGGGCCCCATATCCAGGCCACTCACCTTTCCTATCCTGGGATAGCTGGGGACAGGTATGTGTCCCTTCACCTGGCTGGAGCCAGCGCCAGGTCATTTCCATGAGACAGCATGTATTGGTTTAGTTGTTATTGTTTTTTCACTTTTAGTTTGGAAATAATTGTAGATTTACAGAAGAATTGCAACGGTAGCACAGAGGGTCCCATGCACCCTTCACCCAGCATCCTCGTATTAACATTTGACATAACCATGGCACAGAAATGAGAACTAAGACATGGCGTTGGTTTCCCTATTTATGTTCCATACAAAGGCTGGGAAGGGAGGAGCTTACCTCAAGGGAGTCCCAGAGACTTCGTGTGGCCTTTTGGAAGCCATTCCACACCCAGTTTTTCATTTGTCTCTTCCAAGGAATGATTACTGTCCCCTTCTCCACTCCACAAGAGGTACATTTTCCAGAAAACAGGGCCAGGCTAGGCCTGGAAGCCCTATTTCGCCATCCCCAGCCTCACAGCACTACGTGGTTCTAGAGGTAACAGGGACTTCTCTGAGACCCTACACTCCTGGCTGGCCCAGGACAAGGCATCTCAGAGACACTACATGGCACGCGGCAGCAAACTCCTTGTCCTCCATCCTCTCCTGAAGAGAAAAACAGCAGAGAAGTGCAGAGACATGGCTGGACTCTGAGCCTCAGTTTTCTCATCTGTAGAACAGGAATAATGATAAAATGCACCATATAGGATTATTGTCAGAATCAAATACGATACCATATATAAAGTGTTGAGAATAGTGCCTGACGTGATAAACATTCAGAAAATTATGGTTGCTATCATTATTAATAATTTTGGGTTGTGACATGATGCCATGAAACAAAAGACATGGTAGGCTTATCATTTCCTATCTCAGTTCATTCATTCATTCACTCATTCATTCATTCATACATTTACTCATCTGTTCATTCATACACTCACTCTCTAGGTCTCCTGCAGCAGATGTGAGAGCCAAGAGGAAGCAAGATTGGGGGCCCCGGGACGGTCTTTCCTCCTCTGACTCACTTCCTCTTGCCATTTTCTTTTGCAGAATTCTCCACTCTGGTGGCTGAAAGTTAAGAGGTGCTGGCTGCCCCCGGCCTTCCATCTTCCTGCCCGAACACCCGGTCTCAGCCCCTCTCACCACCCTCCTGCGTTTCTGTTCAGTTTGTTTATGTTATTTTTTACTCCCCTCATCCCTGCGGCCCTTGAGTGACACTATTCTTCTGGAAAATGCTGGAGAAACAATAAAGGCTGTACCAATCGGACTCTGCCTGCTCGGGAGGACCCAGGCCTGGGGGGGGCAGTGGCTTTCCAATACACCTAGGAAGAATTAGGGGCCAGGTTTGGTCAGTTAGACAAGATGTGAGGGCGGGGAGATGCACCAAGCCTCTCCTCTGCGTTTGGTACTACACGAGGCACTCTACCCATTTACTCCTTAAAACCACCCTATAAGGTAGGTGATGACACTCCTGTTTACAGAGGCAGAAACTCTCGGAGAGGGGAAGAGATATGCCTAAGCCCTCACAGCTGGGGTTTGAAGGCAGGTCTGTGGATGGATAGATGGATGAATGGATGGATGGATGGATGGATGGATGGATGGATGGATGGATGGAAGGATGGAAGGATGAATAGATGGATAGATGGATTCATGGATGGATGATGGATGGATGGATGGATGGATGGATGCATTCATGGATGGATAGGTGAATGGATGGATGGATGGGTGAATGCACGGATGAGTGCACGGATAAGTGCATGGGTGGGTGGATGAATGGAGACTCATTAAGACTCTTTTTGGTACAAATGACAGAAACCCAACTCAAAGTAACTTAAGCAAAAAAAAGAAGGAAACAAAGGACTGTGTTATGTGCCTGAATAGTCTGGAATGAATCTTCAGGAACAGCTGGGTCAAGGGACTCATGTGCTGTCATCAGGACTAAGTCCCTCTTCCCCTGTCTCTGAACCCGGATTTCCTTGGTGCTGGATTTGTTACCCGGCAGGCTCTTCCCTTGTGATGGAAGAGTCCTCCTGCAGCTCAAGGTGTATATTCAGCAGTACCAGTGACATAAAAAGCTTTTTTTTCCTGTCCCTCCTTCAGAAAACTCCAAATTTAGTCCCATTAATACCAGTAGTCATTGTTTATTGAGCACTTACTCTGCGCCAAGCCTTTTACAGGATGTCCCCTGCACAACAACCCTATGAAATGTGTGCTCTTGTCATCCTGCTTGCACAGATGAGGAAACGAAGGCACAGAGAACGTAAATGTTCACCCAAAGTCACACAGCATATAAGTGGTTGATCTTGGATCCCAACCCCTGGAGTCACCTCCTGAGCCTGTGTCCCTCCTTGAATCAGTCAGAGTGGCTGGGAGGAAGGGCCCTGATTGGACCACTCTGGGTCATGCCCATTTGTGGAGACAGGTGGGTTCGGTCACACAGAAAGTTGGTGGCCTGAGAATGAGAAAGGGCATCCCTGTGGAAATCAGAAGCGGGGCAGATGCTGGGTGGGCAAACACAGCATCATCCCTGCAGGGTGGCTTCTGTTCTCTGCAAAATGGCCTTGTGGGGGAGGGTATTTAGATTTCCCTGGGTGGGGAGGGGATTGGGTTGCCGTTCTTCCTCCACCCCCACCAGACCCTGTGCATAGCTCCCTCTCTGGGCTCTGAGGTGTTGCCCTGGGCAGGGCTATTGGAGAGGTTGTCACTGAAGAAAAACAAACACCAGGACCCACGTTGAGAGGCAGGACGGACAGTCCCTTCCAGGGTGGCAGCGAGGCAGAGCCAGCAGGTCTAGGCCCAGGAGAGGACTTGGGGCTAGAGCTGAGAACTGGCCAGCAAGATCCCCAAAGGTGTCAGATGAACAAGAGGTGGAACTATTGGGAATGGACCCAGGAGCAGGAATGTGTGCGCCTGTGCCTGAGCATGTGAGCAGCTGTGATGGCACGTGTGCGCACATGGGCACGAGACAACAGTCAGGACCAGCATAGAACCGGGTTTTCAGGTGGGGTATCAGGGATCCAATCTGGACACCTAGGTGGGAGTGAGGAAGGGGAAGGGAAGCCACCTATGCTGGGTCCGTGTGGGATGCAGGAGGGGTTGCTGGGGCTGGGGATCCCGAGCATCTCACCCCGAAACTAGATCAGGGCCCTGCGAGAGGACAGGCAGGTCAGGATGACGTGACAGCCGCCACTGCCCGCTGGCCTGGAGTGGCCTCACGCCTCTTGCCCCAGATCCGAATGACAGCTTGTACAATGCAATTCAGACTCAGGGGGGGCAGTGTAGGGCGCAGCAGTCATGCGATGACCAGTACAGCCGTATGACCTTTTAGGGACATGGGACGTTGGTTCCAAGACCCTGTTTTGAAAAGGGCTTGCCTGGAGCCTGGGCCGGACAAGGGGGAAACAGCTTCCAGTGAGGGCTGAAGCCCCTCACTTGCTGCCACAGAACAGAGGCGGCAAGAGAAAGACCTTCCATGGGGTAGGGTGTTGTGTTTGCTGAATCCCATCACCTCCTTTCCTCCTTCTAACAAGTCACTGGGCGACAGGCTCTGTGATGACTCCCCAGTTAGGTAAGAAAGCCAAGAGCCTCCGGGAACACACAGCCAGTAGGAGCAGAGCTGGAATTCAATGTAGGGTTAGTGACCGAAAGCCTGGGATCTCCACCATTCACTGTGCGGTATGCTGTGTATGGTGACTCTGGCAGGTACCCTGGGAGGAAGGCAAGGGGACAACAGGGGTGTGGCCAGGGGAGGTGGAATAAGGGACAGCCTCACTGACTCTGCAGTCATTCATCAAGCCTTCCTCCTCCCACCTCCTACATCATTCTTGTCCAGCCCATTTCTCTGCCTGCTGCTACCACCTGAATCCCGGCCCATCATGGGGCGGCGTGGGGACACGACTCAGAAAAGCCATGTGGCCTGGCTCTCGCATTCTTAAAGAGTCTTCAGACCTTGGACATCTCTTCAGACAAGGCTGTTCTCCAGTCACAGCTTGTGATCGGGTTTGGCACTTCTATGTCCTGCGACCTTCACCACAAGGGGGGTTGGCTCCTCCCACTCTCTGGGGGTCCTGGGTGGAGCCACCCAGGCTTCCATGGACTGCTGCAGGGGGAGCTTCTGTCCTGTCTCTTGGCCTCCTTTCTCCTTTCCCGACCCACCCTCCACCCAGAGCCCAAGGGCTCTTTCCAAAACGTAGATCAGATCACGTTCTCTTGCTTAAACTGTCCAGTCTATGAAATCAAATCCAGACCCAACCACAGTCTTCCCACCTGCAGGGGCGACCCAGCCTCCAGCTCAGCCCTTCTCCCTCAGCCTGGACCGTTCTGCCTCCCTGTCCCCCCCAGCCTCCTTGCCCTGGCTTAGTTCTTTTCATCCTCAGAAAAACCACCTGGGACAGTTGCCCCCAGCCAGGGTTAGAACTCTTGAACTTCTGCCAGTGAAATGGAAAAAAAGTATATGACAATCTGACCCCTGTCCCTTCCTCCCAGAAACTGTGAGACCAGAGACCTGAGGGCAGGGCATGTCTACGAGCTCCCTGCTGGATCCCAGGGCCTGGTACCCAGAAAGATGCTGGGCCCTACCCATCACAGTACAGATGTGACCACAGGCATCCAGCATGGCTAGTGACTCAAAGTCACACAGAAGTTCAGAGCAGAATGTGGCTTGGCCCCAGGACCCCGCTGTCCCAACTCTGCCATTGGTCCCGTGCACAGGGACCTGTCATTCAGTAAGGAAGGGGGGGGGGGGCGTTGGGTGGAAAGTCTTCCCTTCCCAGCAGGCCTTTCTGTGGCTGGGTATGACTGGGATCTGTTGTCCCCAGTCTCCAGCCACCCACCTCCCTGACACCCGCATCACCACTGCGGTTCCTGATCTTCATTCTTATGCTCAGAAAGGCTCACTCCTTATCTCCATGAGGCTGGGACCAGGAAGGAGGAACCTCGGGCTGGGAGGAGGGGCCACAAATCAATCCCTCCCTGAGTGGTTTTGATAAGAGCAGGGAGCAGCCCAGCCACACGGAGTGATGAATGATCTGATCACTGACACGCTGGGTGGATTGATGTCCTGGAGCTGGGGGACGATGCAGCTAAGTGCAGGGAGGCCAGGACCATCAGAACGGAGGACCAAGGGTGGAAGGATAGGTAGAAACGCTGGGCCTGGGACTCTCCACTCTCAGTGGGCTTGGAGAACAGGGCCAGGCCAGGCTGCAGTCCTGGGGCTGGACAGAGCTGGTTTCCAAATCTGCCCTGATGTGGTCTGAAGGTTTGTGTCCCTCCAAAATTCATAGCTGAAACCTACCCCCAAGGTGGTGGTATTAGAAAGTGAGGCCCTTGGGGGGGGGGGTCATAGGAATTGAGGCCTTATGGGTGGGATTTCTGTCCTTATACAAGAAGCCTGAGGGAAGCTGTTAGCCCTCTGCCATGTGAGGACACAGCGTCTATGAAGCAGAGAGCCCTCACCAGACACCGAATCTGCTGTCACCTTGCTATTGGCCTTCCCAGCCCCCAGAATTATGAGCAACACATTTCTCTTGTTCATAAATTACCCAGTCTAAGATATTTTGTATTCACAACTCAAACAAACTGAGACACCATCTCTTAATCCACATAGAACCATCCAAGGAAGAGACAGTTTATTTTGCACAATAAAAAAAGCTAAGGTTCAGAGAGGTTAGGTAACTTGCCCAAAGCACACAGCTAATCAAAGTGAAAAGAGCAAACGTTTATTCACTCACTTGACAAATAACTTCTGAGTGCCACTTGTGCCCGGTGTAGCCAAGCGTTTTAGAAGTACGACCTCTTAGAAGCATCACTTCCCAAAGCATTCGGCCTCCTTCTGGCTCTGTGCCCCCAGTACAGACTCCCTGCCCCCAAAGCCCTGCTGCCACTCTAGAGAAAATCACTCTGGGGAGATTGGAGCTGGGGGACTCTGACGTCCAGGTTTACTTAGAAAGAAGAAGGCAGCTGGCACACGAGACAGAGGCCTGGTGTTCTCAGTCCAGCAGGCAGAGGGCCTGGGCAGCCCGTCTGGACCCCAAAACATACTGCAAAAGGCCATCACCTGCTTCCCTCTGTTTCCACTCATCCTGAACCTTCTCTCAGGTTGCTGCGAAGTAGCAGAAGAAGATGTGTCCTTTATTTGGGACTTTCTGAGGTCATATTTGAGGGCTCAGGACGGGCTGCTCCAATTTGTCACTCAAGCCAGGAGGATCTTCATTGTCCTTAATATTCAGAGACGGAAGTGCGACTTGAGTAGCTTTGCCATCCATTTCC